ACACACATATATATATATATATATATATATATATATATATATATATGTGTGTGTGTGTTATATATATATATATATATATATATATATATATATATATATAAGAGGAAACTTTCGAAAATAAGTTTAAGAGGTTTAATAAATTACAATGATCGTACACATAAGAATATCTCAAAATATATTTATTAAAGATTATTTATTGATACATACAAAAAATAAACATTATCAAATATGTGCAATATACAAATTAAACTTCAATGTATTAGAAAACATTTTAGTGTCAGGATAAATTTACTTTATTACAGATAATTAATTACTATAAAATATTATAGTAGGTAATACATATTACCAGTGTCTCCATCTTCGGGCATCGTGGAAAAAGGTCGTTTCTGAAAAAAATATATTCCCCTTTCCATGGCCGACCCAGGAGGCAATATCTTTATGCCAATGGGCTCATTGGGCATAAAGATATTGGAGGAAATAAGGCCTCGTTAAGGTTTCCCGGTTAAAAATTAGAATATACAAAGGCATATTAAAATATTTAACCGGCCTACTTTACAAATAGGTAGTCAATAACAATATTTGGAAACAATTTAGAAAATTTCTTTGCACTAGATTTGCTCTCAATTGGTAATTTAAGATTTTATTTTTTAAATGCTAGAATGTTTTGATTACCTCTTAAACAACTCAAAATCACAATATTTTCAAATGGTTAAAATTAATGAAGACTTAATTCTTAATCACGTCTAATCGGGAGTGAAACTACTGAGAAACACTTATTAAAATTAACTGCCTAACAAAATTACTGTAATCGGAATAGAAAATACCGGCCACTTGCGTTTTTGTGATCACTGAATTAATTTATTAAATTTTCGTTTGCGCGTCCTGGTAGTCTGTTTCTACTCAATATTTAATTTTCTAATTCTAAAATACAAACGACTAAAATACAAATCATTGTTGTTGGACCAGTATTCTTTTATCATTATCATTTTTGTTAAATTATGCATTTAATTTTTTTTTACTAAAATATAATATTAATTAAGAATATACGTACAGTTTCATTTTAAATATTGGAAATTACTTCGCCATTCGTGCTATGATTTAATGCTTATTAGTATTATTATCATTTCTTTAGATAAGTAGATTAACTGCAATTTTGTCTTGCTCCTCCTGGGTCGGCTTCTGAATTCTCGGATACTTTTTATTTTTTCTTTTTAGTACTAAATAGCCTTCTCTGTGGCTCAATTTTTTTAGTACTGTCTATTTTATTTAGTATGTCGGGCTGTCCTATTAAAATATCAGCTTCCTTACGGGCAGCACTTAATGTTGGTTCTAGAGAAGCCAGGACCTTTTCAGCAATTACTAACTCTTTTTCGCTTTCTATGGCATCAATTTGAGTCATAAATTTTTTAATTAATTCTTTTTTTCTCTCAGATAAAGTTCTTAGAGGTGCCTTGTCTTGATTTTGGGTACCTCTCTTTGATTGGAGCTGATGGAAAATCAGTGTAGATTCTTCTAATTTGGGGTTTTCAAAAACTGTGAGCTGCTGGTCATTAGACTCTAAAAACAAATATACAATAAATAAATTGACTAATGTTAAGCATACAGGGTAATCCATGATGAACTACTCCAAACCAATACGACACAATTAATCCATTGATACAAAGTTTCAAATCCTAATATAACATACCTAATCAATAACATTAAGTATATATATATATATATAATATATATATATATATATATATATATATATATACCTATATATATATATATATATATATATATATATATATATATATATATATATATATATATATATATATAAAGCAGTGATATCAACGGAAAAGGGGTGGAAACCCTTTGCACATTGGTGTCTTGAAGATTTCAGTCAGTTAGGTGGAGAAATAAATATATATATATATATATATATATATATATAATATATATATATATAATAGAAAATATTTTAAATAAGATTACCTTCAGTTTCTATTGCTTGACTGGATTCTTCATTTCTTCTTTCAGCTTGAAGGTATCGGCATAGCAAATGAACATGTTTGCACATGTTCCAACGAATTGTGCTATCAATGCAATCGCATGAGTATTTATGTATGCAACACTCACATGTAATGCAGTTTAGCGGACAATTGTAATCGCATTTACTAACATTCTCAGAAATGGTATATATATTATTTGGTAGGGATGTGGAAAGAACTTGCCAAATTTCTGCACCAACTTTGCTTATGCATCCTATATCTAAACTTAAACTTATGTTGTGTCGCTTTCTGAGTTCTTTTAGTTTAGAAGTTACTTTACCTTTATTTAGTACAATTAACCTATCAAATAAGCGATCTCTCACTAACTTCATTAAAGCTCCTATTGCTTTGTCAAGACGTTGCACATTTTTGCCTTTCAAATATATATATTTAATAGATTTATGCATAGATTCGATATGCATATTCGTATTTAAACCGCAATCAGTTCTATAACAGTAAGCCCAACTTTTGCAGTTCCTGCTATAATATTTTTCAAAATAATTTGCGAACTGTACAGTTTCTGGATCATTATGTAATTGACTCAGAAATTGGTTAATCATCCTTTCAAAAGCTGCAGAATCGGTCTCTTGCATAACAGTTCTCAATATTTTGTAAACTTCTATCTAAAAATAAGATTTGGATTTTCGTTAAATTATTTTATAATTAAATTTACACATTATACTGACCTGTCTATCTCTTAAATTTATTAAATTCAAGTTTTTCCTCCAAGCTCTATCAACATGCCAGCTACAATATAGGCTACAACAAAAATCAACGCGTTAACAATGAGAGCATAAGCAATAATTGGCTATGTATTACCGGTAATGGGCAGGTGGCATTACTTCTGACCATGCGTTATAATATATTTCAGCCATGTCTGACATAAACACCTTCGTCTCAATTGGTCCTACTTTTTCCCTAATATAAGTGAAAAATATTTTCATTGCAACTCCATCACTTTTATTGGATATGCAGAATGCACATGGAAATCCTTGCCGTAATTCATCCAATATAAGTAATGTGTGCAATTCGAAATTATATCCATTTAAGCCATGGGTTCCATCAATACACAAACAGTCCTTTGAAAAAGTCTCCAGCATATTCTTTTGTCCTTCACTCATAATAATAAGCATGAAATCTTCCATTTTTAGTTGAGGATGTGTGTCTAAAGATATGCCTTGTGGTTTGTAAAACAAAACACATGAACTTTTCATTTCTTCTACCCAAGCATCCACACTAAGCGCATCACTACTATGTCGTTGGGATTCTGAATGTTAAATTGAAAGAAGCTTCAATGTTCAAAATGTCTTTTTTTGGTCAGTAAATGTATTCTTTCCAAATCCGACGTGGTTATTGAATCGCGTATGTCATCTAGAATAGCATCAAATGAAATTTTCATAGCGATCTTTGTAGCTATCATAGCACGCTCATCCTTGGTTAAAGATAAATGACATAAATCGCTTTGATGACCAACATGACTTTTCACAAAAGTTATTTCATGATATCCATTTTCTTTATTAATTACCACTTTTATACCAGCAGGACAGTATCCATTAATTTTTTTGCTCCCCTGTGTTTTCAAATGTCTTATGCCCAAACCTCTAGGTTTGAAAAAACCAGAACGAGGACATATGTAGCTGACGTAAGTTTTGTGTATTGAATTTGACCGTTTTTCTACTATAAATTGTGTTTGAGTTTCCTTTGTAATTTTGGAGAACCAAGCGCTAAAGTCTTCAGAACTCGTAAATTGCATTCTTTCAACATCCATATTAATATTATGAACAAGTTCAAAATGTTTGGAAAAATCTACCTTTAATTTCCCAACATAGTCACATAATGGGCATTTTTTCCCAACATTTTCTTCGGTCACAATAACATTATTGTCTTTGTTATTTGGCAAAGTTCCTAGAAAATATAGTAATAAAAGTACATAATTTAAAAAATTGCTAAATGTATAATAATAGCCAAATGTATTTGTTTTTCTAATTTATAACTTACTATTTTCTGTTGTAGTATGTGTTTTCAAATGCGTATTTAAATTTTTTCTTGCACTGAAATTCTTCCGACACGAAGTGCATTGAAATGGATAGGACTTCACTTTCAAAGGAGCCAATTCTCCAACTTATCGGGATGAAATTTTTTTAACATGTTTTCTTAAGTCACTAAAACGTTTCAAACTGTGTTTGCATTCACCACACTCAACAAATTCCATATTTAACATAATAAGGTAAATAACTATTTGCACTTTTATCAATGCTTAACTCTTACGCCAAAGTTCACAGTTATACGATAAACACGTGGAGAAATACAAGCATCAAAACGAGTTGACGAAAACGTATGGCTGGCAACACCGTGGGCACTCGAGTAGACGTTGCGACGTAGACTCCCGTGTGGTGTGGACACAGTATGGACAGACAGACAGCTCCCCCACTATCAAACATAAATGGGTAGGGCGTATTAAAACGTTAAAACTATTGCTGGATCACGATGACCCTGACCCTGTTGGTAGCAGTTACGGATTAAATATATCGAACATTTTGTTTGTCGCATAACTTTTGAAACTATGTGCATTTTCCAGTCAACAGAAGTTATCGTTTGTTTTTTATTTATTATAATCATTTTATTTGTTCCAAATTGACTTCAATACCTAATATTTAAATTTTTTCTTTATAGTTATTAAATTCTGTTTCATGTAAATGATTTTCTAAGCATTCATGAAATTTACATAAAATTTTAAGTGATATCTAATAAAGTTTCTGCCCAATTCTCCCCTAAACAATTAACAAATAAATTAACTTTCTGTCAGGAACGTGATACTTGCAGTGAAAAATAAATAATCATTAAGATAACTACTATAATGTACATGCTGTTTTTAAGATAAAACGACAAGAGGTATAAAACCTGTAAATATTCCGAATATAGTTTTTGGGAGAGTTTATTACTTTGTGTTGTGATAACATAAAAATGTCCAATTCGGTATCAAATCTTGTGTGTGTCAACGATTATGAAGAATATGCCAAGAAGAAATTATCAAATATGTACTTTGAGTTCTATTATAGTGGAGCTGGACAACAAAAAACTTTGAAATGGAATAAAAGTGATTTTAACAAGTAAGTAATTTTTTTATAATTTGTGTAATACCAAAGTATTGTTTTATTACTAGGTACTAGGTATTGTTTTACTTCTACTACATAGATAAAAAATCAAAAGCATTTTTTAACAGATTTGATTTATTTAGACTCTTGAATTTTTTTATTATCTGTAAGTGTTAAATGTATATCAATCTAGCTTTTATAGTAAACACTTCAAAAATAAAAAAATCAGTGTGCATCATAAGATAAAAACAACCAATTAAACAACGTAGGTCAAGAACTAGAGTAACATGCAAATCGACATGAAAGTCATCATCATCCAGCGCTTGGCGTCCACTACTGGACATAGGCCTCCCTTATTTTTGTCCATTGTGCTCTATCTTGAGCACTTTTCATCCAATTTCATGTTATTTTTTGAGATCTTCAGTCCAACGGGTAGGGGGTCTTCCTCTACTTCTTTTATCTAACCTCGGCCTCCACTCAAGAAATCTCTTCGTCCACCTTTTATTACTGATTTGGGCGACGTGTTCGGTCCAGTTCCATTTCAGTGTGGCAATTCGGGAAATTACATCGGTAACTCCTGTCCTTCATCGTAAGTCTATATTTCTAACTCGGTCACGAAGCGATATACTCAGCCTTGACTTTTCCATTTTCCTCAGGGCTATTTGCAACGTTTTAAAAGTTGTAGCTGTCAATTTCATATTTTCGGCACCATAGGTCATCACAAGCAACACACATTGGTCAAATGTTTAACGTTTTAAAAAATTGGTACATCGCTTTTAAAGATTTGAGTTTTCTATAGGCTCCCATGCTAGATTTATTCTTCTTCGTAATTCGCATGTTTGGTTGTCTCTTGTGATCTTTATTTCGTTTCCAAGGTATATGTATTTTTCCACCAGCTCTACTTCGTTTTCTCAAATATTGATATTTCCGCTAGGTACTAGGTCATGAATTGTTTATATGAAAATCATAAACTACTTAAAAACATTAAATATTTGGCCCAAAAGTTCAAACCACAACTTCAGACCATTTAAGACCATAACACAGAAGTAAAAAACCGACATAAAGAGCATTACAGTACTGCTCAGAATTATACAAAGACAGAAAGACACTTTAAAAGATTCATCAGTCTCAGAACACAGGAAACATACAAACAGAGGCAGAATTGCTCCTTTTCCTCATGCATACAAAATACTGTTACATATAAATAACGCAAGGCTAAATTTATTTTCTACTTCCTGAGATAGTTAAAGAATAATGCGGATTCAGACCAGAGAAAGGAGCGCGTGAGCAATTAGATACTAAACACCAGAGAGACAAAAAAAAGCGGGAAAACATTTTACCAATACTGCTCTGTTTCGTAGTATTAAACAAAGAGCTCTTGAAAATGCTCCTCCCACCTTTTGATTAGTTCCTCTTTCTCCCTGATAATTGTCCCGTTTTTTTCTTGTACACTATCGTTCTTGTCATGTGTCCTTGAAAGTATCGTTTGGTTTCCTTGTAAAATTTCCTTATCTCTCTTATGTTATTATGGTCTGTAATTTGTTATATTTTTCTATTTAACATCTACTAGGTTTTCCCCAATGTCTCCCTTGCTGTATTGGTAATTGTCGTTTGGATGATCTTCCATTCGCCTTCGACGTTATTTTTAGTCTCCTCTTTCATTTAATATTAGCTTTATTTTCAGCTAGTACTGATTTTTCTTCGTATGATTTTTAAACATATATGTGCTTTATTTTCTTTGTTTGGCCCCTTTCTCTTTTTTATCATATACACTCTTTGTTTTCCCTTCGATATGACCAAGAAATTATCCGAATCGCAATTTGCGCCTTTATAAGATCTAACATCTGTTACGGACGTTGCCCATCGTTTAAATATTCATAATTTAATTTAATTTATTAGTACTAGTTATCATCCAGGTTTCTTTATGAATATTTTTATGAGAGTGTGTGTGTGTGTGTGTTTTTATTGGCACTGGCTTTGACAACCAACTGGCCAGTCAATTTGTTTTAAGTTCTGTCTTTACAAAAGATATTGTTAGTATTTACATTTAAAACTATTGTATTGTATTGACAGTTAAGACATGGAATGTTAGAAACTTATTTACTAGATTACTCTGTTTTTGCTGTTTTGTTTTTTGTACCTTTTTTTTAATTTTTTATTTTTTTATTTATTTTTTTTTATATATTTTTTTATTTTTTTTTATTTTTTTTTTTATTTATTTTTTTATTTATTTTTTTTATTACTATGCTAAGACATAAATCCGATTCGACACCTCGGAGGTTTAGATCTTAGTATTTTTTTTTTATTTTGTTCTTCATTTTTTTTTATTCTTTCTTATTTTTTTTTATCAGAGCTTTAATTTTAAACAATTAATATGACTATATAAAATTTTATATACATCTAGATTCTTTGACTCTAAAAGATGTGTTAGATTAGAAGGTAATTGAACATTAACTTGAACTAGCTTGGTAAAAAAATTTGATATTTCAATAAAATGTAAAGGACATTCTAACAGCATATGTTGTAGATCAGCTAGCTCCCCACATATACATTCATCATTATTTGCCAGTCCTATTTTTCTTTTGTAGACTGGAGTCATACAATGATTGCTTCTTATTCTACAAATACTTTTGATGAAGCCTCTGTTGGAAACTTGTTTAAACCATGTCTTGACGGAAATTTTGGGTTGGATTATTTTATAAAATTTGTCCTTGTCCGAATTGTTGTAGTGTCCCTGCCATTTGGTCCGTTTGAGAGACCTGATTACAGATATTAAATCTCCCATAGGAAGTTGATAAGTTTGAATAGTGGATTCTTTCATTGTTGCTTTTTTTTGCCAGATTATCTACTATTTCGTTGTTTTTTATACCAATATGTGCTTTTATCCAGCACAATATGTATATTTTTGTCCGATTTCAAAGCTTCACTGTTCAGTGCTATAATGTCACTGATGATATAATTTTCTACAAAAGTATGTAAATTATATTTCAGTTTATGTACAATGCTTTGGCAGTCTGTAAATATAACATAGTTTAGTTCTTTTTGACTCATACATATTTTGTAGGCTTCTTTGACTGCTATGAGTTCAGCTGTGAAAGTTGTCATTTTGTCGGGTAATCTGTTGTTTATCTTTATACTTTTTTGGGGTAGAATATAGCATATCCAACTTTGCCGTCCATTTTTGAACCATCTGTATATACTTTTTGATAACTTCCCCAATGACTTTGTACATACTGAAGGTGATCTATTTTAGTAAGAAAATCTGTGGCAAGAATATTACTTAAATGGCAGTTAAATGGAGATAAATAATCTTCATAGTTTAATTTTCGAGATGAGGGTTGTTCCATTTTGCATATGTCGTCAATATAACTAGAAACGTTGAGGAAACTTTCCACAACTAAAAGCTGCTTCTTTTTTCTCAGTAATGATGAGTTAGGTATGTAGTGGTTAATTGTACAATTTTATTTAACAACAGTTTATTGTTAACTGCCACTTTAACTATAAATTTTTCACTTAAAATTCTCTGCGTAATGAAAGTGGAGGTTCATTAAGTTCACATTCCATGACCAATATGGGAGTACTACGAAGATAACCAGTGCTTAATCTAAGTGTCTTATTTTTTATACTTTCGATTTTTTGGAGTACAGAGTTTGATGCTGAGCCATAAAATATAGATCCGTAATCTAGGATCGATCTCATTAAATTTCTGTATAGTAATATTGAGATGTATTTTTATGAGAGAAACACCTATTCTCTACTTTGAATTTATTTGCCATTGCCAACTGTGTCAATTTTATACCGTTGTTTAAGATAATATCATGTAAACTATGTTTACCAATTGATTCTGAATCTATTGGCTCTTTTCAAAACTATAAGTTCATATTACCCAGGACTATAATTGCACCTCCATTTTGCACATTTTCACATTCTACTTACTGCATTACTACATTACCAGATCATCTGCTGTTTCTGTTGGGCATTGTATTAATAATTGTAATATTATATATTACAATATTACAATAATGTAAAATATAAGCGTATTTTACATATTTTTTAATTAACTGAAGTGGAACCCAACATCAACCTGTAGCATTTTTTATGGTTTAAGTGCAACAGCTAAATGAATTAAAAGCTACATATGTTGCAACATACGCAGCTAAAACATGGACTCTTAAAAAATCGATAAGAATGGGAAGCCTTCGAAATGTGAGTCGATAAAAGAATTCTACGCGCATCCTGGATAGAACACAGAACTAGCCTGTTAATTCTAGAACAGCTTACAACAAAAGACAGGCTATTAAAAAAGCGAACTGAGCCTAAATTAGTTGAGTCACACAGCCAGAGGAACAGAGATTATGATTCTATTGGTAGTACAAGGAAAGGTAGAAGATAAGCGCTCAAGGAATACGGAGTAGCACTGCTTAGATGCCGACATGGAGCGTCCCAAAAGCTAATAGGAAACGGTTTATGGCTATATACAATACAGCAAGTATTTTCTCTTCTCTTGGAGCTGTCTGTTATATAGGAATCTTCTTCTTATAGTGCCGTGCACCTATAGTACGTTGGCGAATTATCTTAAGGTCAGACGTCTGTCTTTTGCGTCATGCAAAAGATCGCCAGTGTTATTTATGCCTGTCAAGTTTTTTATGTTCCGTAACCACGACATTTGTTGCGACCTACTTCTCTCTTGCCTTTAATCTTTCCCTGGATGATTAGTTGAGGGATTGCGCATTTTTTCCTCTCAGAATATGGCCGAGGTATCCAATTTTTCATACCTTGATCAAATTGAGTAATTCTCTCCCAGTATTTAGCTTTCTTAAGACTTCCTCGTTTCTCACCCTATCTGTCCATGGTATGCGGAACATTCTTTGCAACGTCCGCATTTCGGAAGGCCTCCAACTTATTAATGGAAGGTACTCTTAACGTCCATGTTATGGATCTTACCGCAGTCGTTTATTGTACATATTCCATTAACTATTATACAAATCTTTAAGTCTTCTGCAGACTTGCTATAT